TGGATGATGCAAAGCAAAGACAAATAGTATTAATTTCCCTGAGTGCTGTTAGGCATGAAAGCCAAAAGCTACTAAACAGGATTCCCTAGATGGGAAACTACAAGGGCCAACATTTGAGTGGAATTTAAGACACATAAGTCACTTTTATCTCCTGCAGGGGACCTATATTGCTAACTTAATGCCAAGCTCTTTTCACATTTCCTTTCATTTGGGACCATATTTCTCAGAGTAGGATAGCAATGGCCACGCTAGTGTACTATCTTTAGTCTTCTAACTCAAGGCTGGTGACTGTAGGCACCCATCAGAGCTGGACATAACCCAGAGCAGCCAGGAAAGAGGACAACCAGTGCTGGTAACCACCAGCAGTACCTACTGCACTACAGCAACTTGGTGGGTCTTTCATGCACAGTCCTAAGAGTTTCTTCAGTCCCTGTCTGCTTTCTTCACTGCACAGGAAACATTGGCAAGTGTCTCGATGCTCTTGATTAAAGGTTAGACTTGCCCTCCTGGAACGTGGTTCCATTTCTTGCGCTCACTTCAAAGAGGGAGAGTTTAAAAGACGCAGGAGCAATTGTTTGAAGTGATGACTGAGGCTCACTAAGCCTGATTTACTCACACTTCTGAGAGAGAAATATGCATATAGCAATCAGTAAAGGCCCAGGATATGGTTCCTTGTTGCATCACTAGGAGCACAGACTCCTAGCCTCAGCTTACCACAGCGCAGATGAAAAACACGAGGGGAATTACCATCTCAGAAATGCATCTTCCTCCTCCTCTGAGCCCAAAGGTTTCAGCAGACCTGTCCATGAGCGTGGCATTGCTTTAGCCTTCCGCAGGGTTTACTGCCTCAAAGCTTCTGCAGTGGTGATCACAAGGATCCCAACCTGTTTCCAGGGCTCCCAAAAGGTGACTGTCCTCCCTCCAGGACACTCATTTGCAGAGCTGCCATCTCCTGTGGGTGGGTATCCAGCAGATGGCATCCACGTCCAACACTTGTGCTGGAGCTTCGCCTTCCTGAGGGTTTCTCTTGGTCTTTATTTCTCTCAGGGTCCGTTTCTTCATTAATGCCTACTTTTCATTTGAATGTTTAATGCCAAAATATTCACTGATTTAGTGCTCTTTTCACTGCTCTTGTTCTTTCCCAAGATTAAAAATCACTTAATATTCCTCTGCTTTCAATGGCATAGTGTGGGACCTTTTATATCAGAAAATAGAATTATTTGAGATCTGTCCATCTCAACAGTGGAAAACATGTGGGGTCTGGGCTGGGAGTCTGAGAAATCAGGGCGCATCACATCTATATGATCTTTACACTTGGGGAAAAATAGGTTTTGTGGGAGGGAACAGGAGTGCTGAGTAAGTTCAATTAGCGTTCCCTGACAGCCTCGCTTTCCAGCCCAGATATCTGGCAAGCAGAGGCAGTGGGTTTGGGTGTTACAGTCATTCTCCAACAATGGAAGTGTTGCAAAATATGTAGCACCACATATTAAAAAGGGATTAGGAGCCGGGAACCACAATGAGTAGGAAGACAGGAGCAGCCTTTGAACAGAGCCTCAGGCACTGTTGCAGAAACATGTTTTCTGGAGCAGGATGACAGCCATGTAACAGGCATTGTTTGCCCGACAAACCAATCCATAGATATGATCCCCAGCTTCCACACGTCTGTGCAGACCCTGCTATGCCTCCGACTGCAAAAGCAACCTTCAGCCCTCACCACGCTGCTGAATGTAAATCGAGCTCTCGTCTGCCAGTGAAAACACAGGGGACTACAAGTTGTGCCCCGACCCCTGTGGGCACTGAGGATAACCAAGTGGAACTCAAACCGCTGCGGAGTTTGGAGTCGGAGGTTAAGGGACTCAGCGGAAAAGAAACTTCTGCCCAATCTCTATCATGTTCTAAATCTTCTCAGGTTTCTAAAGCTTGGATTACACCCAGGAATAGACTGGTGTTTATTAATTAATTCCCTCTGGGGCTGTTCAGAGTCACATTTAGCAGCTGTCTTATTCTGGGTTTGTTGGTCCAGCATTACCATAAGGATGCCAAGCAGGAACCGGCGTGAAGGATTGCTCTGGCTCTAGCCCATGGTCTGTCCAATCCAGCCTTGACAGTGCTCCATCCAAATACCTCAAATGAGAGGGCTGGATCCTTTGCTGTGGAGAGTTACGGAGTATCTGCCTCACTGGAGAGGTTCCTCCCAGTCTGAGTCATTAGTGGCCACTTTACATTCTGGAACATGAGGTTTACACCCCTCCTAAACGTAATGGAAAGGCAGATAACGCAACCCACAAAGCTCTAGACCTCACTAATTAGACACCCACAAGATAATTACACCCAGTAAAAAAAGAAAAGTATAAAAAGTAATTGTGAAAGTAGTTCTTATCAGTTTAAAAACGCTGCCTTTCAGTGCCTCTAGCCAAGTAACACCTTGCTTTTCTAGTCTCTCTTCCTTCAGCAGATCTCAAAGCCCATTGCAAAACAGGATGCTGCCATTGCCTTCATTTAAAAGACACAAACCAGATGAACCCGAGCTCACCTCGCTGCCCGTCACATAGACCTGCCGCAAACCTGGGACAGGATTTTTCCCAGGTCCCACTTGATGCTATGGCCTTGCATCACAACAAACCCAGCACAGAACAGCTGTTGTCTGACAAACTTTTCCCTTACTCTCATTTCTAGACTAAGAAAAAGAACAGAACTCATTCTTTACATCCTCACTTACTCTAAACACCTCCTTATTCTCCTGGATTGTCATTGCAACGCAGTGACCAGAGGGAGCGCAGACCTCCCCACGCTCTCCTGCCTTTGGTCCGTGTCTTGGCAGGAGCATGAGCTGCTTCCCAGCATGTTCCTTTGCCTCTCTCTATTTCCACTCAGGTTAATACCAAACCACACAGATCACTTAACTCTTAGTATGAGCATTTTGACTGAAGTTTGTACTGGACCATGAGCCAACGTTCAGTCAAATGCTACAAGGACAGGACATATAACTTCCTAAAAATGGTGGAAGAAGCTAAATTTATTTCTCAAAATTTCTTAAATTGAGCTTGAAGGTAAAAAGTGAGTTAAAGGCTGGACATTAATTTCTAAAACAGCAGTTTTCTAGAAGGCAGGCCGAGTACTTTCTCTTTAAAGGACTTTTGTACACATGTATTTTTTCAACAGCAAATGATTCCCTGTTAGCTTTAAGTTTCAATGAATGCAGAAAAAGCCATATTAAGAAACACTCAAAGGTGACCCATGCTTACAACAGCCTCACAAATAAACCATGCTGTGTGCTCCCTGCCTACAGCCAGCCCCCACTGCCCACCTCTGCACCACTGAGCTGGGTCACCCTATCCACAGGCCACAAAAATCCCAAGGACATGTCCCAGGCTCCTCCTGTCCATGAAATGCACTTCATGGCTCTGCTGAGGCAGTTCCTAACAAGTGACATGCCCTGTGCCCACAGGGACACTGACAGCAGTGAGAAAACAGTCTGGAGGCTGCAAGGACCCCATCATTTGCAACTACAACACCATCACCTGTTGCTCACCAGCCTAGGCTACAGCTCCAAGGATGTGGTTGCATCTCCCACAGCCAGGAGATGGCCCACCTTTTGTAGGCAGGGTCTAAACCTTAATTAGGTGATTACCAATACAAGCCAGCTGGGTGATATATCCATAATTCCCCCTTTTTGTTTTACAGTTTTTTGCTTTCAAGATGGCTTTACAGTGAGCAGAGACCCAATTCATCCATTCCAACTCCCATTCACTTCCCTCTTTTGGGGTAGCAGCTTTACCTTCTTTATCAAAGGACTTCTCACTCCAGTTCTGGCTGTTTTGGCTCAGGCGTCAGGGTCAAGGTCTTCAGGGTCTCTCATGAGGATCACATCAGGGTCACCAGTTGTTGCTCACCAGCCTAGGCTGCAGCTCCAAAAATATGGTCACATCTCCCACAGCCAGGAGGAAATGGCCCACCTTTTGTAGGCAGGGTCTAAACCTTAATTAGGTGATTACCAATACAAGCCAGCTGGGTGATATGTCCGTAGTCACCCTGCTGAAGCATAGCCAGGCAATTTCAGACACTTTTTTTTCCCCATAGCCCAGTGCTTCAGTTGTGTCCTCTGCAGACACGCAGCCCATGCACACAGCTGTCCCAGCAGCGGGGGGACCCTCGCTCTATGTCGGGGGGTGCCCAGGGGCTGAGCTAACCACAGGAGCACCCTGGGGACACACACCGGTGAGCAGGGTAGTGTCTCTGCTCTCTCCTCTGCCAACAAGCAGTTCAAAGTCTGAATCGGTGCGTTTTCTCATTTTCTAGACAAAGGAGGAGCACAAAGCGACAGAGCTTTGGGCAGGAAGGGGCAAATCAGAGTCTACTGCTCTAGGATAATCTAGGATAAACTTCCTACAGCTTGGAACAGTGTCACGAACACCCAGAAAGCTGAGAGGGAAAAGGTATTATTTTTGGCTGAAGGTCTTTATAGCTGATGCAGGAACTCTCTTGTTAGTTACTCATTGCCTTGGCAAGTCTCATAAAACAGACAGCAGAGCCCAGCAAATAATTTTCTTCAGTATTCTGGGAGCTTGGAAATCCAGGAATTGAACGAGGCCTTGAACCCATTTTATGGACTCACTTCTTACTGAGCTACCATAAAACATTAAAATTCAGACCTTATAAATAAGGAGGGGAAAGAGCTGTGCATTTCTTAGCAGAAGCAGCCTCTCTGGAGACTCTTCCCAAGGTAAGTCCAGTGTTATGGATTCAGAGATGGGTTCTCCTGACAGACAGCTGATTGGCAACAACAAACTCACGCAACAGATTAGAGACGTAAACCCCCTTGATTCTGCTCTGCACTGGAAAAGGTCCTGCAACAAACGGACTTAGTTTATTCCCTGGTGTCCCTGGTGACCTTGTCCCCGTCTTCGAGGGCAGCAAGGAATTAACCGGCTGCGAGCCCCGAGCAGAGGCAGCAACGCTGGGACGCTCTCTCCAACAGACACCAGCCGTGCTCCTCCGAGATGGTGCAGAGGAGCAGCCTCGCAGTCCCATACGGAGTGCCTGTCCTCGCCGTGTGCCTTCTGGCGTGCGCAGCCACAGGTAAGCCACGGAAAAAATCTGTCATGGCTTAGTCCAGGCCCCATCACGCTGACATGCGACACTGTCCGGGGTTGTGCAGCGCCCAGGGCGATGTGCCACGCGAGCATCCCAGCTTTCAGATGTTCTGGAGGTCATCCCCAGAGGATTATCTGAAAACTGGCCTCCGATTTTGAGAGTAGCAGAGAAGGAAATGGGGAAGCTTCAGTGTTTTCCAATGTTATTGCAGCAGCTGCACGGGGATGACAGGCGACCATTTTCAAACCTGCTCCAAGAAGTGAAAATTGTGATAGGTCTGGCCACCTGGGAACACCAGGGGAGAGACAGGGAGCTTCAGACTTTTTTATATTCACAGGGCTATACTGCCTTTATATTTTGAGCTATATTTTCAGTTCATTAATCTATGACATAGGCTACACTAGTGAATTTCAGCCCGTTTAAAAAATGTATTTCCCATACTGGTTCTTCATTTAATATGTCCTGAGGTTTGTACGTTAGACAAACTGCAACTCTCCAACAGCCGGACTCAGACTGACCAGGGTACAGCTGAGGGGCTGATTAAATACTTTATACTCTCAAGTGCATTCAGCTCCAACCAAAAACCAGCACATCAAACTGTGGGCACAAAACCTGAGGGCATGGGAATGCTGCAACGGTGATTTGCAGCAAGAGGATGAGAAAGACTGGAGGGATGCGGATGATCTTTTGCAGCATGTGCTACATGGTCACCGCTGGTCTTCAGACCTTCTCTTATTACGGGTCAGGCTTTGGTGTTCTTGCAGTCAGTGGCAGAAGCCTGACTTTTTAAAGCAACTGTGAAGGGAGCTTTGTGATGAAGACACTTCTTGTCTCGAAAACTAAAGTGCCAACTGAAAACAGCTGTCAGGCTGAAGCCTAAAACTCAGTCCCTCCTCCAAGGTCGAGAGCCTGGAGAAGCTAAAGCTACCAGGACAACTTTTGTGGGAAGGGTACAGGTTAGGATGCTCAGTGCCCTCGTTCTCCTTCTTTTGCAGGTTTGGAACTGTCTGTAAATAACCACACTGCTGACTTCTCCCTGACCACGCAGGCTGGCCCTTCTGTCTCCCTCTCCTGCCTAGTACAGAACAGCAGCCAGGATGAGGAGCTGCTCTGGTACCGAGAAGATGGGGAAGTGGATCTGAAAGATGGGAATAAAGTGAACATCAGTAACATCTGCATATCGCCAGTCGCCGAGTCTGACAATGGAGTCACCTTCACGTGCAAGCTGGTGCGGGACACATCCGTCCAGGTGTCTGTGATCCTGGATGTCCAGTGTGAGTTGCTGTGGCGGATACCTGTGCAGAATGGCTGGGGTGGGACGAGATCATGGGCTGAGCGCGTTGGTGTCTGGGCGCTAGCTGAAGGCAGGGTGTTTTGCACCCTTGTACGCTGTGTTCACCGAGAAAAAATGCGCTTAGGAGGAGATAATTCACGTGATGAGACACTCCCTCGCCACAGTGGTGCTTATGGCCTGATCTAATGCCTGTTTTATAGGGAGTGGGTGGGCCCTTAAGTAAGAAGACGTTCTGGATATGTCCCTGCCTCCACCTAGATTCTTTCTCAAGGATACAAGTCAGGGCAGAGGAGTCATGGGAGTGACGGTCTCTGCCACTGATTGCCCTGCTGATTCCCGGGGACGATGAAAGGCTGCACAACGTGGCGTGTTACACCACTGACCAAGGTGCACAACGGATGTGTAAAGGGAACTTGCTTTGTGTTAAATGGTGAGCAACGTTATTAATGACCTGTTGAACTGCATTACTGTGCACAGTTCCTCCCCAGCTGACTGGAGAAGAGTCCCTGCAAGTTCAAGAAGACAAAGATGTCACTCTATCCTGCAATGCCAAATCCAACCCTCAAGCTGAAACAGCTTGGTATAAGAACAACACCACCTTGACCCTAGAGCAAGATCGTCACAAGGTGTACCTGACCAGTGAGGTCTTCCAGCTCTCTATCAAAAATGTAGAGAGTTCTGACAATGGGACCTACACCTGCGTGGTGAAATCTTCTTTGGGAGAGGGGAGGAAGGACTTCCACCTGATAGTTCAAGGTAACAAGGCTGCTGCTAAACAATAAGCTTTACAACTAACTCTCCATTCTCTTTTATAATGATAGCAATCCACTTACATTAAGAAGTGTAAATGGAATGTGGTTAAATTCCCCACGTTAACTTCTGAAGGCACTGCAACAGCAAGGAGCTCTCCTTGCACCTGTGCCTGGGACCACAGCACCAGAAAGGGCCTTTCCTGCTCCCCGTGTTGTTCAAAAGCATTTGGCAAGCATGACCTGAGGCAGGCTCATCCCTCTGTCTCACTTCCCATGCTGACAGGGCACGTTCAAGTGTGGTTTATAGCACCTTAGGTCTTACTGGAAGATTCTTACTCTGACCGTAGTATTCTGTCACGCCAAAAGAGCTGCTTAAGGCAAGAGAAGTTGTCCTCCAGAAGTGACTAGGGCCCTGTGGGCAACAGGGAGGTGGAGGCCCTGCGGGGGCTGGATGCTCAAGTCTCAGACAGGTGACACTAGGTGAGGTGACCCACCAGGCACCCATTTCTCACCCACTGTCCAGGTCTCTTTCACTTTTTCCCTCTTGGAAAAGGAAGGAAAGCAACGTTATCCGTGTCAGCAATACAGCTGGACACTCTTATTTCCATGCCTAAGAGTGCCTTGAGGATCTTCTTCAGAAATGGACATTTCAATTCTTCCTTCAGCTTGCTAAAACACAGGCTTGGCTCCTTTCTTTTCCACACAGTCAGAGTGCAGACAGCAGAGAGAGCAACAGCTCAAATCAGCAGTGACAGCCATGGGAAAAGAAATCTCTCTTTCCCCAGTTCTGCGAAACGCTGTGTTTTAGATGACGGTACTAATCTATCACATATTCAACCTCCTCTCTCTTGACAGATAGAAATGTTTTTCCCACGGAAGCCATTATTGCTGCTGGTGTGGTGGTTGCACTCACGGTATTTTTTGGAATTGTGGCTCGAAAGGACAAAATTTTTAAGGTACCGAAAGCTCTACTTTTTTAGGAAAAAAATAGTATTGTTTTGCTGCAATGCCCTGGGTTTTTTTAACCTTTTTTATGTTACTTTGTAGTGTTACTTTCCCCTGTTAGAGAACTTCTATGTACTACCTCCTGCTTTAGAATTACCAGTTGATAAACCAAATATTAGGTATTTTAAGGTGGAAGGCATTACGCACTTAAGAGACATTAGGAAAAATATTGCTGTGGCCAGGAAATACAAAAGGTAACAAGACTTTCTTTATTTTCAGTGCTTCAAAAGATCTAGTGAAACAGCTCTGTAAGTATTTGACTGCTTTTCATGCAGCTTCCAAATGAAACCCCTTCCTCAAGCCTTGGTAGAACCTGGGAAAGGAAAGAGCACTCAGCACGCTAAACACGGCCACGCTGAGTTACCGAGCTCTTGCTCTGGCTAACATGAGCCCACCCGTTGTCTCCCAGCGGAGAGGGGTCCCTGGGAACATGACAGGACAGATGCAGATCATGCCCCGGGCACGGCATGGCTCCTGCCCTTGTCCTGGCCATCCCAGGGTCCTGGCTATGCCTGTGTGGAGGCAGTGGGGAAATAACGTAACAGCATATTCCCAGCCTGCTGAAAGCTTTCTGGAGCTGAAGGCAGCCCAGGTGAATTCAACTCACTTATTTTTTTTTTCCATAGGTGACTTTTCATTTCTTCTTTTCATTTTGCTGCAGGTGACAACCACAAGATCCCTGTGCTTACCCAGGAAACGTTTCTAGTGGCGGAACATAAGCCCTTGTGGGAAATGATGAGATAAAGCACTGAAGGAAGTTTTCTGGGTCAAATTTATATGGTCTTTAAAAAATATAAGTAGTTCTTTGCATCTGTTTGTTCTAAACTACAGCTTAGAGCACCGCCATGGGGGGTGGGCTGCCCAAGCTGTTGCCAGATCTCACCCTCTATGCTTATTCCTAAAGGGAATGCACATACAGTCAGGCATGTGGGTTTTCAGCGGGTCCACAGAGGAATCCATACTGGGTTGCCACAGATGGCGACGTTGATGTACAAATAAAGCGAGGTGTTGAGCTGTCAGCTGCTCTCTTGGTTCTACAGTGCCATCCCACAGAGCATTAGGGGTGGTGGCCACCAGCTTGCTGCCCCTTCCCAGTAATCCTACGGGCATCCCAGCAATCCTACGGGCATCCCAGCTCCTGCTGGCTGGG